TTATGATGCAAAAAGTTGTCATTTATAATACTTTCAATATAGTTTTTGAATATTTTTTTTTTAAGTTTAAGATATCAAATTAATAAAATATAATTTAACTTTGAAAAATCAATCAAATTGACTCAAGAAAAAACGCAATATAATAATTAAAAGTGTACGAATGAAGTATCTTTAATATATTGACATTAAAATCAGCTTTTGAGATAGACTAAAATTTGGAATTTAGAGTATGGTCTAATTCAATTCCTAATAAAAAAATTTATTTTAGAAAGGACTTGTGATCATTTTTCATTACCCTAAAAGGTAGATAGATATATAGTTTACTTTTGGAGAAGACAAAAAAAATGAACCACAAGTTTTGTCACTCTTTTTGTGGGGTTTTCTAGTTTATTTATGATGCTCTTTATTTGATAGGAATTAATACACAACAATAGGTTTATTGATGGTTAGCCACGATGAATATGGATTCTGATGAAATGATTGTAATTTATTAACTTTTATTTATTAGATTTGAGGTTTTAAATTTAAATTCTAAAAACAATTTTATTGAAAGCGTAATGTATGTATCGCGAATGTTATAAAATTAATTAGTAAACGCTAAAAAAAGCAACAAAATTGAAAGGTCTTCACAAAAATTAATCAGTTATCCAAACTCAATATATTTAACTAGTTAAAAGGACCAAAAATGAGAAAGAACTATTTATGCAAATTTTTATGAAGATTCTACCCATGTTTATCTGACTTCTCAATTTTTTCTAGTTTTTATCGTCCTAGAATTTCTATTGTATTACTATTATGTAATCAAAATACATTTTCTATAGAGAATTATATTCTTTACCTCACGCAATAAATGAATGATGTAATACGTAAATTTAAATTTAATCAAATTTAAGTATAAATATAAACACCGAATTAAAAATAAAAGAAAAAGTGTAACAGATATCATGGTGTTACGTTGTTCTAGGCTGGAAGGATATGTTGAAGGGTGTGAGACCTTTTACAAAAAGAATGGTTAAATAAATTAAATAAGATGTGAAAAGAATATATTCTTTTTCTTTTTACAAAAATATAAACACTAAACGATAAACTTATATGTATAAAAAATAATTTAACTACAATTTCATTGCACAATTTAATTGACTAATTAATTGAAACATGTTAACAATAAGATATGATTTTCACAAAGAAAAATTAAAATACAAAGACTAGAAAGTTTTTAAAAAATTAATAACATATACATTTTTATTCAACACACACATATATATATATATTTATATGTTATAATTTTTGATATTTTCTCAAACAAAAATAACTCTGTTGCTGATCTTAAAAATAGATATTTTATTAAGAAATACATATATTTTTTCTTAACTAGATCATACGAATCTATTAATATACAACCATTATTCAATCTTAACATTGTTTTTCAATTATTTTTATTTACAAGTTGCTTATTTATTTATTTATTTTTCTTTTGACATTATTAAAATTAAAGGTTGAAGAATTAATCTAGAAGGAAATTATTAGTACTCCTTCAAATGTCCTAGGGATACGCGCCAACGTAGACTAACTCCTGTCCGTGTGCATGCAATTTTTAATGATTTTTATTTTTTTGTGTAATAATATTTTTAATGAATTATCATTATTTCACATTTGGTCAAATTTGATCCAAAAACCTAAAACTAATTTATTAAAGACTAATTGATAGTTAAATTTTTTTCTAAAAAAGAAACTAAAAGAAACGTGAACCATTTTCTTGAATATTAAAGTATAATTTTTTTTGAAAAGTATTTTCTTAAATATTATTTAAGAAAAATTTGTTTTTCGAAAACTTAAGCTTCCGTTTGATCGAGACAAAGAAACATAGTTTATTCAGGAAATTTTGATCATTTTTTAAAAATTTATCTTTCAAAAGATTCAAGATAAAATTATTCGATTAATTATATTTGTATTATTAAACGAACGAGATATTCAAGATAATCTGATCAATTATTTAATAAACTCTTCAATCAAAGATATGGGGATTTATTATATGACTTACTTGTCTTTTAGTTAGTATAAAAAGGAGAAATTATGTGAATAAATAAATTATACTAATTAATTAGTTAATATTATTTTAATGTGAAATTTTATTTGCTACTAATTTTTAGGTAAAATTAAGTGGTTGAGTTTTAGTTGTATAACGCACAATTTTATAAATTTGTATAATATAATTTGTATAAATATTTAAATTTATATGTTTATATTTTTATAGATTTGTTATTTCGAATTTATACGCAAATAAATATAAATCAATTAGTGCTAATCAACTTATACAACTACAGATAAACACACGAATTATACAAATTTACATGAGTTATACTAATGTACACTTAAACTATACAAACGAGGTCGTACATAACAACTTACACTATAGCTACAACATGTAGATATGAAAAAAATAATTAAAAGCCTAATTAAATTTATTGTAATATTATTTGCGAAATATTTTATTTAAGAAAGAATAATACATTTATATATTTAGTAACGATTTAATTTTTAAATGTCAATTTTATTTTAATTAAATGAATTCTAGTCACATAAATATATATATACACATAAATTATTTTAATTTTACAAATTTTAAAATTCTTCCTCTCTTTTTTTTTTAAATTTAGTATTAAATTAAATTAACTTATATAAATTGAGACAAAAAAATGTTAGATACTTTGTGCTTTTAATTTCTTTTTGTTTCACGTTCTTGCTTGGCCCATCTCCATTGGTGGTAAAACGTGTCTGATGCGTGTAATGGTCCAATGTAAAGTATTTTTATTGTTATTATTATTATTTTTAATTTTCAATTTTAATTTTTTAGTAATAATATTTTTATATTCGTAAATATGGATAAGGTTTGTGTACATATTATCCTCCTTATATTTTACTTTTGAAGTTATAGGGGTCAAAAATCTAAATGGTGATATTTAAGAGAAAACTTCCATTTATACTAAATTAAATTTAATATATTATTGTTATTATAAAAATTGATTACTTACTAATATTTACTTAATTTTTAATTTTATATTTTTCTACTTTAGGGACATTCTTTAATTAATAAGTTAAAGTTTTGTTATATATGTCTAATTACCTTCTTTTATTTTTTCTTCGATCCATATCTATATCTTCTAACTCATGTAACAATTAATCTTGCACATCTCTTTTACTATTGATGTATTCACATATTATTTTTTCATATATTCAATTCAATCGTCTTAGCGTTAGTTTAATTTCTTCTTTTTTCAGCACATATATCATGCTTACATCATCTTTATAACTGTATTATTAACAAAAAAATTCATCATCATTTTCTTCTACTTAAATTACAATTAGTCATATAATCTCATCGACTATAATTTCTTTGAATTTTGAATCTTTCACAAAAAAAAATGAGATTTCAATCACAAATACGTAAACATATTGTTGATGATTGTTGAATTAGGATATTAAAATCTCACTTAAAATCTAACCTTATTATTTTACAGAAAAAGAATGTTTGGTTGCTATTTTTTTTTAAATCTTAAATAATATCCACAAAAACTATATGAAGATTCATGTATTATTTTATGTGAAAAGATCATTCAATAGATTATGAGCACAACTAATAATTGGATTAAAACAATTTAAATAACAAAACTACTTCTCATAATAGTGAAGAAACATTTATTTTGTTTAAAAGTACACACGTATTTTAAATATATACATTGTATACTTGTTATTTTTTTTAATGATAACATCTACCAAAAAATAATTCAGCCGTTGTAATACTCCAATATCTGCATTATATTTATTCCTAAATAAAAAAAATACATGTTAATGATTATAATAGCAATAAAATAATGATAATTTTACTATATGCCTATTGATATATAAAAAATCAATATTTCGAGAGCTAAACATTTATTTTAATATAATACAGTGAACAAAGATATTTTAAAAATAAATAATTATTTCTTTACTTTATTTAAGCTGAATAAATAAAAATAAATATTTGTGTTTAGTATAATGGACAGATAAAAATAGACGAAAGAGTGAAAGAGTATTGATTAACTACTTTATCTATTTTTATTTATTTATAATTAGGGGTGTTCATTGTTTGAATAAAAAATGAACCAAATCGACTAAATAAACTGATTTTATTTGGGTTTGATTTGATTTAGTTTTAGAATTTTAAAAACTGATAGTATTTTATTTTGGTTATGATTTTTTTAAAAAATTAAAGAAATAATTGGATCGAATCGATAAATCGTATACATAAATTTTATTATTATATATACATAATATATTATTTGAGTAAACAATTTTAAAGATCTTACATACGTTTTCATAAAAAATTATTCATAATTTACTTATAAAATCAAAATTTCCAAGGTAAAAAAAATTATCTTATTATTTCATGTATATGACTAATATGAGTGTCTATGATAATTTTTTGTGACACTGGAAATGTCATTGTTCTTCCTTCTAGGCAAAAATAGTAAATTTAAAGTTTTATTCATGATAAATTTAGTGATTAAAAATTTTATAATGTCATCATTTTAATTATTTTTCGTTTTGAATAAATTGTTTCTTTCAATTTTATATATGGTCGATAACCGAATATTAAACTAAATTGAACTGAAATCAATAACAACTAAATCGATAAACGTTTACTATTACATTTAGTTTGATTTGATTTTGATATTTTAAAAACAGATTAAGATATTTTAATTTAAATTTTGAGTAATAACCGACTCAAACCTATCCATAAATACTCTAGTTTATAGTATTGACCTAGCAAAACTTTTAATAAGCAATAAATAGAGTTATTATTCTTTTAGACTATAATTAATAATAAGATGATATTTGAAATTATTTAAATAAAATTAGACATTTATTTTTAGTATAACCGCCGAATAAAAAGCGAAAGAATGCCGAATTTCTCTTTTTCTTTAACATCCTTTTTTTTCGAACAAACTAATATACGCGGTCCAAATCGACCACAATATAAGCCCCTTTTTTAGGGTTACAAAAAACATCCTTTACCTTTGTCGTGTTTTTTCTCTTTTTCTTGAATTTTACAATCACTTTTCCCCCCTCTCATTTTAGTGAAAGTAAGATTTGAGAGCATTGATTGAGTATTTGGAGGTGTCAAGGTAAAAGGGTTCTTGAATTTTGTGAATTTCATATCATTTCTATCAATTCTTGATCATAGATAGGTGGTTGTAGTGAAGAGCTTTTGTGGGCTGGACACTAATTTCTGTTTAAAGTTTTGATTTTTTGTATTGGGTTGTTTTCATTTTGTCAATTTCAAATCATTTCTATCAATTCTTGATCATAGTTAGGTTGTTGTAGTGAAGAATTTTCGTGGGGTTATACTAATTTCTGTTTGAAGTTTCGATTTTTGGTATTGGGCTGTTTTCATTTTGTGGGTTTTGATCAGCTGAGGAAAATATTGAATGGTTCATCTTTGTTTGATCATTTAGTTATTTGGGAATTTGATCTTTTTGGTTTGAATTTCAAGATTTGTTTTGGGTGTTTGATTGTTTCATGTAAAATTTTAAGATATGCCAGCAACAGATTTTTCAACTTTTGGGAGGTCTATTCTGAGTTTACGTCGCGATCAACAAGTACATTCTATGGAATCTGGTGGTCATGAGGGAACTAGCCATGAGCTTGAGCTTGAAGCTTTTCAAAAACAAGTAGCTGAACGTTTCAATGATTTGGCATCTGCTGACTCTGATCAGCTTTTGTCGATTCCTTGGATTCATAAATTATTGGAAGTGTTTCTATCTTGCCAGGAGCAGTTTAAGTCTGTTGTGTCGAAGAATAAGGGATTGTTGAATAAATCCCCTGCTGATCGTTACGTAATGGAATATTACGAAAGGAGTGTGAAAGCTTTAGATGTGTGTAATGCGATACGTGATGGGATTGAGTTGATCAGGCAATGGCAGAAGCAGTTGGAGATTGTTTATTATGCATTGGATAACCAGAGGAGTATTGGGGAAGGTCAAATTCGTCGTTCAATGAAAGCTTTGATTGATTTGGCAATTGGAATGATTGATGAAAAAGAGAGTAATTCAAGTTTTGCTCATAGAAACAGGTCATTTGGACGAAACAATGCTCAGAAGGATAATAATTCGTTGGGCCAATTTCGATCATTATCATGGAGTGTATCGCGGAATTGGTCTGCTACTAAGCAACTTCAAGCAATTGGTCAAAACTTAGTTGCTCCAAAAAATAATGAAATTAGTGCCACCAATGGATTAGCTACAGCTGTTTTTACAATGAGTTATGTGCTTTACTTTGTAATGTGGACGCTTGTGGCTGCAATTCCTTGCCAAGACCGTGGCCTTCAAACGCATTTTCATGTTACTAGGCAATTCGTTTGGGCTGCTCCTGTTCTCACCCTCCATGATAGGATTTTGGAGGAGTCAAGAAAGAGGGAGCGTAAAAATGTTTGTGGATTGTTGAGGGAGATTAATAAGATTGAGATGTGTGCCCGCCACATGAATGAATTGACCGATACCATTCACTTCCCCCTTTCAGAGGAAAAGGAAGGAGAAGTTAAGCAAAGAGTTCAGGAGCTTGGGATAGTCTACTATGGTCTAAAAGATGGATTGGGCCCGTTGGAGCGTCAGGTACGAGAAGTGTTTCATAGGATTGTTCGAAGCAGGACTGAGGGGCTCGACTCTATTGGATGAGGGATTCATTAGTGTTACAGGTAAAAAGGAACCACGATTCCATTTAGAGTTGTAGTAGTCGAGTGTGTGCGCCTCTGCAACCATTAGAAAAGCAGATTATGCTCTTAGTTTTCCCCTTGTTTCTTTTCGTTTCATTTTGTTTGCCCTTTTTTAGATGAGAAGAATAGGGAGGATTAAATGGTGCAATGTCCCAAAATATTCTAAAGAGGTAAACTCATGTATTTGTCGCTATGTATTATGTAAAGAATGCAAAATAGTTGGATCTCTGGTCCATGTTGTGTTGTTCATCTTGTGTAAGGTTGTTTAGTCAGTTACCTCTGTAACAGAGTTTCATTTGAATATTTTGCTTCTGTTATATATTATGCATTTATTGAAGTTCTTGCATTAGTCTCCAAGTTACTATCTTGTCCAATTGTAATGTGTGTAAGAGTTGTTTAGCAGCTCTCTATGAATAACCATCCATACGAAGAATCTCTTATTTTTATTTTATTTCTCTTATAGTTTGGCATTTTCTTTATCGTATTTCAATGATGATGCCAAACAAAGTTTTTTCTATTCTTCTGTCATGGTTAACTGTCGGGTATGTTCTCCAAATACTTATAGTACGATGTCTGATCTTTCATTGCACAAGTCTGTTCTCTTTACATTCCATAGCCTGCTGGTCACAAACTACTTTCTCTTGTTCCATGGGATAACATTTTTGTTTTTTGGTTCTCATTTTCTCTTCTGGAATCTCAAGATCTTTGATCTATGGATTTTGGACCAGTGTTCTTTTCCTCTATACGGGAGCCTTGGTGTAACCAGTAAAGTTGTTTTCAGTTTTCACGTGACCAGGAGGTCAAGGGTTCGAGCAGTAGAAACAACCTGTTGCAGAAATGCAGGGCAAGGCTGCGGACAACAGACCCTTGTGATCCGGCCGTTTCTTGAACTCCGTGCATCGCGGGAGCTTAGTGCACCGGGTTGTCCTTTTCTGACAGGAGTAGTGGCTTTGTCATTGACCGTCTTCGTGGTCAATAGCAGAACGTTGTCAATGACTTATTATAAGGTTTTGTTGACCAATGCCCATCTGAAGTTCTTGTTTTCTACTTGAAATTGTCTGATATTTCAGGTTAGTATTAAACAATTCTCATCATGTGAGCTGTAAGGAGGTTGTGGTCTCAAGATATTGGTCAAAGGCTTTTCGTTGACTGAGTCAAATGTCTCGATAATGGTAGCCACAAAGTTAATTTTAGTCAAACAAAAGCATCTTCAGGTAATGACTAATTTCTCACTAATTTGCCTGCATGTTCTTGCTTATCTATATCACAAGATATATTAGTATTATATATAACAAGTTTTTGTACGTTTATGTCTTGAGCCACGTCTCAATCTCAGCTGCTATCGTTTAGTAAAGATGTCTTTTTGTTTTACAATATTGTGAACAAACAACATGTTACATACATTGATAACGTAAAAATCCTTTATACCGTATAGTATAGCCTGTAGGTGCTTAAGTTAAACTCGGTAAACTATTGTTCCATTTAAATCAGGACCCAATTTTAATGTTTAACAATGTATTCATGTGTTTGGAATCAAATGCTAAATCTTGTTTGAAGGCGAATTTGGACGAAACTTTGTAAGAAGACTTTCGTCCACATAACCTCATAATCCAAAGTATAATTGTTTATGAAGCAAAGCATTTGTGCTTTTCTCTCAAATCTAGCATATGCTTTTGTTAGTTCTTGACTTAAAATTAGTATTTTAACTTTGCTCAATCAAGTTTTCCTCAACAATCACCAAAAATGGATACGGAATTGAGATCCAAGGTAGCAAGAGTTTCAGATGAATTCAACTCCAATGAATTCTTTCAGTTTCCGAGAGATCGAGCTGGCGTTGCTTTCCAGTCTACAGAAACAAACTCTATGTTCGTCGTCACTGCTCATTTGAAAGGTTTATCTCTACCTTGTATGTTTGACTTAATTCTATGAGAATGCCGTTTCCTGGTATTTGGTTACTACAGGGGCAGAGGTAGAAGCCTAAATACGAGTTCTGCTGAACTCAATAGCATTTGCTCGAAAGTATTTATGCAAAGACATTGGTTATTTTTATTTGATTGTGGAAAATATTTGTGTAGGTTATACGCGAGGAAACATAAAGGTTGATCTTAACGAGAACAAGACTAAACTGGTGGTAACGTGTGAGAAGCCGGTCCAAGAAACTCTAACGATTGGGCATGAAGTGATCAAGAAAGATGTACAGATTAGAAAATTTACAAAGTCAATCCAGATTCCAGATGGGGTAATCGTGGACGAAATTATAACTAATTTCAATGAGGAAACCTCCAACCTGACTATTACAATGCCAAAGAGGTTGAAGGAGCCAGAGCTTGTTACCCAGACGCCTTGTACAATTCTTAAAAGAGCGAGATTTCAAGAAGACGAAGGATCAGCTGATTCAGTAACTGCATCTCGAAAAGGACTAATCGAACAGCATGATGCTAAAGATGAAGTTCCCGAAAGGAAAATCGAAACAGGTGAATGTAGAAATTTGAAAAATGATGAAGTTTGTGAAAAAGAGGAGGATAAACTGCCTAAAAGGAGCAAGGTATGTGTTCCTGTTATTGTTGGATCAGGTGTAATGTTATCTGTAGTTGTCTTTGTGATTCTTTTTATGAGAAAAAAGAAGCAACCTGGAAAAAGAAAAGCATAAGACAGAGAACATTTGTTGAACCTATGTATACATTCAATTTATTGTGTGACCTCGAATATCATATAAATTCTTGCGATATTCTTAAAGAGATCAAGATATGTCAGACTCTTCTTGACAACCAAATATTTCAAGAAAATCATTCATGGAAATAAAGTCCAACTCATCCTAATTCGAGAAATATGTTATTAACGACTCTCAGATCAGAGAAATCTTTGAAGATAAGAATTAAGGGAGGAGCAAAATTGTTGTCATACTGTTAATATTCTTGTTTCTTCAATAGGTCAAAGATAAATTTCAGGAATCACATAGTTTTAATATGAAATTTTAATGTGAAATTACAATATATCCCTCTTTAATTTCTAATTACATTAATTCATTAAAAAGTAACACAAATCAGCTATATTAATATGTAGCTCTGATACATTAAAGAGTATCTCGGATACATTAAAAATTAGCTCGGATATATTATTAAATAAGTCGAATATAATATAGATCGTATACAGTAAATATTGACTTGGATACATTTCTCAAATTATTAGTCTAATAAGTTTTATTATAACTCATAAATATTAATAGATTAAATAAAGTTCAAATCAACATTAATGCAAACAAAAAATGTGCCACCATGTTTCCCTAGTAGTACTTTCTTCCAATTGCTTCCAGAGACTTCAGATTCAAATAGAAGATGCTCCATTGTTTCATTAAATATTGGTTTATAAAATTAAAATATGTAACATAATTTTATTCTTTTTAATATCTAGTCATATAATTAATAGTATTAGATTTATTTTAGCATGCATTAATACTTTTAAATTATCACCATTTCTATTTTGACTTATCAATATGCACTATTTGTTTTATGTGATTTTTCTTTAAAAAAATTGTTATTGAATATTTTATTGCCATCTCTTATTAGATATATTTCTTTGCACATTATACATTATTTTTAGGACAAGCAACACAAATATATATACGTTATTTTTAGGACAAGCAACACAAATATATATAGAAAAAACTAATATTATAAAAAAAAAAATAGCTAAGCCACATAATTTTCCCCAACTTTAATGAGATTTAGGTCCCACGAGATCATTAAAATTACATCAATTTTCCTCAACTTTTCAACTTGGCTTCTTACGTAATTAAATTTGTCATTTACATGTTCTTAAAAAAGTGGAACAAGCTATATATAT